GCATTCTTTTTCTTCCACTCCCTCACCTTAGCAGCCGATCCATTACCTATAAGCGCTCTTTCCGGATCTGATCTCCTCGCGTACAGATCACGTTCACCAGATCGACTCCATCTTTTCCTTTATTTTATTCAATTCATTTTCTTTCGCTTTCCTTTCTTTAGTCTTTCATTTGAAAAATTGCCTTTAGTACTTTGAATTATTTTGGTACATCTGCCCCTGACGCATCTTTCCTCTTCAGCTAAAGAAGCACACAAAGTGCCCAGAGGCTCTGCAAGACCTTGCGACCAAAAGGGGTGATAATCACCAAGAGACACCATCAGAATTGACAGCACAAGGTGCTGCAACTCGCCCACATGAACCTAATCTTCTTAAGTCCATAGGATGGCACTACCTTGACGGGTAGAACATTAACACACTATAAGCTAGTGTGACAATGCTAAGGTTATTAGCAGAATATGAAGTCACCTCTGCTAACGCCTAAGGGCTTCGAAAGAAGTCCACAGCTGATATGAGATGATCAGCAATGCACGCTCAGGAAGAGGGGGCCTCCGCGCCTCCACGCCAGGGACCACTTGAGTCCCGGACGCCTTTGGTATGGATTACCGCTCGAAACTTTCTATTTATTTCTATCAGATTCTAAGATAGACCCGAAAGATGACTTGAGTTCTTCTAGTAGAAGCTTTAGTATGTATGATAAAGAGAAGAACTGAATCACAAGCTTTATGGAAAATATTCTAGCCTAATAATCTACTTCAACCGATATGCCCTTAGGCACAGCCATACATAACATAGAAAGAAGATTGGGAAGGGGTGGACAATCTTAGGATGTCCGTTCTTGGACCAGTTCGCATTGCTCTGGAAGTTAGCTTTGCGTGGCGCTGGCCTTACTCAATATAGGGGGGTGGGGTTTGATTTTCAACATTCGCAGCACCGGTCTTTCCCCAAAAGGGCGTCACAGACGTCTCAAATCGTTATGAGGTGAACATCAGCATATAGTCATTCCACCGCGCCTGAGTGAGCCTGAGCTGCGCTTATGTGCTTACGTTGTGGCTTTGCTGCATTTTCTTTCCTTCCCGCCTCCTAAAACATCCTGAAGATTCCGTAAATCTAAAAGTTGGCAGGTCGGCTTGTCGTCTGGTTGGTGAATAGAGTTTGATGTCAATCTGA